ACACCTGTGTAGATTTGTGGTGCGGCCTCAGTTGGAAAACCGTGTACCAGAACTTGGTCACCCTATCTCAAAAAGGCCATTGCAGAGCTAGAAGTATAGAAGAGGGCAACCATGGTGATTAAGGTGTAGGAGCGCCTTTCCGAGGAGGGGGGAAAGCTGAACAGTTGGGGACTTTTCCATTTAGAAAAAGAGGGGTAGTCATGTTAGTCTCAGCAGGGTATGAGCTTTCGTGAGTCAATGCTCACTTCTTCCGAGATCTATCTGTATCTACAGAGAGAGAGATAACTTGTAAAAGCCCGTGTGCGCACGTGTGTGCGTGCGTATGTTTAAGCACAGGATTTTTTTTATGTTACATTGAACAAAAGGCCTAAAATGTTACAAACAGAAAAGGGCCAAACAAATATGAAGAAGTCTCTTATATGCTTGATTTGATGTCAGAATCATTTTGGGTTGCTTTGTGCCAGGAAGAGACAGAGACAGCCAATGATTGTGCTTTATTTTTTCAGGACACCCCCCTCCTCCGAAAAGCCACACGCCCCGTCCTGAGCTCCGCTGCAGCCCCTCCCAGTGCTCTTCTCCACCGGAGCCTGCCCCCTGGGTCAGCTGAGGGGGAGAGGGGATTAGACTGGAGGAAAGGGTGGGAGAGGGGAGCACTTTGTGGCTGAAATGTGAGAGGTGCTGGGGATGGAGCCTGCTTCTGCTCTGGCACGGAAAACAGGTTCTGGGGCCAAGCCCTGTCGGAACACAGGCGCAAGTCGAAGCCTGGCCGGCTTCTGTGTGGGGTGCGGAGGGTTGGCAAAGCACTGGAGGTGGCTGCGGCGGGCTGATGCTTCAGGAGAGCATGCATGACCTGCCTGGCCTCAGCCAGTCGGACTCCGCTGACCATCCGCAGTGTCCTTCTTTCCATTTGGCAAAAGTGCCGGGCCTTGCTTCTGCCACCGTCGTAGCCCCTGTGAGGTGAGCTGCCCATGATCCTCTTTTACAGGTGAAGAACTGTACCTGACAGGACCTGCCCCCAGGCCTCTTTGGAGGATGTGAGGGGACGCTTGCTCTTGGCTGGCTGCCTGCCTGCCTTTGGGCAGCTGTGACGGAGAAAGGAGTGCTCGCCGTTGTTCGATTCCAGGCCAGCGCCAGCATATGCTGAGGTGGGGCAGCTGCCGTGGCCCGTAGGTTCTGGTGGGACCCGCTGCCGCTGACTGCCTGCTGACCAGTCCGGTGCCTGCGCTGACATCCTCCCCCGCCTGTTTGTGAGTGCCTTGGCACTCGTGCTCCTGGCTGCATGTGCTGCCTGGCACTGCTGGCGAAGGGCACATGGGTAGGGCACAAAGCATCAGCGTTCCTGGCGGCCATGGCAGGGGCGTTCCTAGCCGCACCCACCACCACTGGGGGAAAGGGCAAGCAGGCAGCGTTTCTCTGCCCAGGGCCCCCGGTTTGATTGAGTCCGACTTCTTAAGTTACGGGTTGCAAACTTCTGAAATGCAAGAAGCCACACTTATTATAAAAAGGAGTTTCTGCCCAAATTGTGAACCCCAAACTGTTTCTCACCCCGAGAGCTGGGGGGGCGCCCTGATGCCATTAGAAAGCAGCTGGCCCAGGTAGCCTTCATCCACACACACAGTTGACCACCCCAGAAGACCAGCAAGGTCACAGAGTCCCAAGGGAGAGCAAGGCCAGTCCTGCGGGGGGGGACCGAGGGCGGGCGAGGCCCGGCCGGGGGGGGGGGGGGGAGAGGCTGCCAGTTGAGGAAGCCGAAAGGCCAGAGAATCCAAGAACGTGTGGGCCGGGGGGGGGGGCAAGGCAGGGAGGTCTCAGCAGCCACCACTGAAGGAGAGGGTTCCACAGCCTCTCTGCTGCTTGTCTTGCCTTAGGAAGCCTGTCCTAACTCTTAGCTGAGATGGATCTTCCTCCAGCTTAAAAGATTTTGAGTGAAGAATTCTTGGCCTTCTCTTCCTTCCACGTATTCGAGTCCTGTCCTCTTAGGTCCTCTTTGGCTGTCAGACAGGGAGGGGCCATGGTGGCTCAGTGGGAGATCCTCTGCTTTGCATGCAGAAGGTCCCAGGTTCAATCCCCGGCAGCCTCTCCAGTTAAAAGGATCAGCTGGTGTGAAGGACTCTGGAGAGTCACTGCCGGTCTGCGTGCTCAAGACTGACCTTTAAGGACGGATGGTCTGATCCAGTACAAAGGGGCTTCCTCCTGTGTGCTCTCATGCATGCGTCTGCTTCATGTATTTGCCACACTGAGCATTTCCGGGTCCGTGGGGCTCTCTTTTGCTCAAAAGCTTGCCGGCTTCCTGCTTGAACAGGTACACAGAAGAACATGCAATACCACATGTAGGCTGAGATCCTCTCCCTCCCCTGCTGGCAAGGGGGGAAGGTCCCTCCCTCCGCAGTGGCCTTGTGGCCTCCTTCGCTAGAGGCAAAGCCGGTGGGTGGGGTCTGGGGTTGTGCTGGCGGCACAGGTAACTCCTCTGTCCTGTCCCGACCAAACCAGGCGAGCAGGCGTGGCTCCCCCCACCCGGGTCTGCAGTAAGTGAAGGGTTAAGACACCAGCAGGCAGCTGATGCTTGGCTCCTGCAGGTCACCCAGATGCAGTTTCCATGGAAACGGCTGGGCCACCAGCCAGTATCCTGCTGCATCCTCATGTTTTTGGTACCCAGGCCCCTGCACTCCAGTGAATGAAACCTGGAAATTGGGGGGGGGGATTGGGAAGAAAAGAGGTGTTGCTAGGAAAGTAGGGTGTGTAGGAAGGGAAGACAGGCATGCCGGGCTGTGAGACCGATCCATGGCGGGGGTGGGCTGGGGGCTGTGGATACCTTAAGGCAGGTCAGTTCCAGGTCAGTCTGGACGGGTTCTGTTGGGGGGCCAGCGGTGTGCAACCGCATCTCGGTCTGAAATCTGAACAGCAGTCCGGCGCCACTCCAAAGCGGGCCGCTCTTTCCAGGCTGGACCAGTGGCGTCATTGCTTGGCACCGAGAATGAGCGTCAGTGCTGGGGTGATGTGCCCAGGCTCATCTGAGCGAGGTGGGCTTAGGCGAGGGCATGCGGGAAAGCCCTGCTCAGGTTGGCATGGGTGTGTGGGGCGAGGGAGGGAAGCCAAGGCAGCGTGAGGGGAGGGGGGGATTGGCCTCTCCCACTTCTCAGGAAGGCTGCCTCCTTCCTTGCCTGTGAATCCTGGCACGGCTGCCCTGCCTTGGCCAGCTCTGGCGTGAGGCTGGCAGTGGGATCAGCCAGACCTCTCAGTCTTGGGAGGAACCGGAGCCCAGCATCTGTTGACACATGCCCAACTCCGCTGCAGGTTGCCACTGTGGAGCCCAGCTTGGGTACTACTTGGTTTGTCTCCAAAGAGTGATTAACACTTGAAATTCACTGCCACAGGAAGTGGTGGCAGCTACAAGCATGGATGGCTTCAAAAGGGAATTAGATAAGCATATGGAGCAGAGGTCCATCAGTGGCCCCTATTAGCCACAAGGTATAGATAGGGACTCTGGGGCAAGTGATGCTCTGTCATATTGGTGCTTGGGGGGGTCAACAGTGGGAGGGCTTCTAATGTCCTGGCCCCACTGGTGGACCTCCTGATGGCACTGGTATTTCTGGCCACTGTGTGATACAGAGTGTTGGACTGGATCGGCCTTTGGCCTGATCCAACATTGGCTTCTCTTATATTTTATGTTCTTATGTCTGTGGGGGGGGGGGAGCATGGGGCCGTGGCCCAGTGGAAGAGCCTTTGCTTGGCACGCAGAAGGTCTCAGGTTCAATCCCCGGCAGCGTCAGTTTAAAAAAGCAGGCAGTCGGTGATGATGTGAAAGACCTCTCTCTGCCTGAGACCCTGGAGAGCGGCTGCCAGTCTGAGTAAGCAAGACTGACTTTGATGGACCCAGGGTCTGATTCAGTATCAGGCAGCTTCATGTGGGTTCCTGTGCGGGAACTGAGGAGCAGGCTGGGCTGGCCCCTCCCAGCACTTGGTGTTTTGCCAGGCGGTAGGCTGATGCACTCTGGTGCATTTCTTTGATGTCCACAGCTAGCGGTGGTGGTGGTGGTGGGGGAGATGGATTCAGAAGACCTGGAGGCTGCACCTCTGTGAGAGATGAGGCTGGTGGGCTGGGGGTGAACCCTTGCAGGGAGGTCTGCATGGACCTCTCTTGGCCACCCTGCTTCCCAGCACCCTAAGGACCCAGGAGTTATTAACCGTAACTGGCTATTTTAAGTAACAAACGTGGGACTTTGAAATTAGAAGCCTTGGACTGCCTTTGAAAAGCAAAGCAACTAAGCCCTGCCTGATAGTCCTCCTCCGTGCAAGCCATGGCAGGGCTTTGGGCGGGGTGTGTGGAGAATGGTTTCCCAGAAATCAGGACCTTCCGAGGGGGTTCATGGGACAGGGATCCCCTGAATGAGGTGAAGTAAGTAAGTATCTGGTGGCACCTTGAAGACTGCCAAGATTTTATTCCTGCATGAACTCCGGTGGACTAGAGCTCGCTTTGTCGGATGCACAGCTGAACCGGCTGGATCTCACCCCGTGGGCTCTGCTCCATGGAAGCATCTGGCCACTGGGATAAATCCTTGTTTGTCTTTCAGGGGCTGCGGGACTCCCACTGGTCTTTGCTGCAGCCCACTAACGTGTTTCCCCTTGCCCCGCCCCGGGAGTTACTCCAAAAGGAGGGGCATTTCCTAATGTCCGTTTGCTTGGTCTCCTCTCCAGGGTTGGGGAACTGTCAGAGGCGTCTCTATAAATTTGGTGAGCACCAGCGATCACCAGCATTGGGGACCCTGTGGACCATTGGGGGCACCTTTAGAAAACCGAGTCCACTCCTGTCTGCCCAGGGGAGTCTACAAGTCCTTTAGGCATGGTGGTGTCTGCTCTGTGTCCCTGGGCCTTTGCAGGCATGGTTTTAGCACCACTCGGCAGTTGCAGGAGGGGGTTTCTGACCACCAGCGGAGGGTCTTCCTGCCAGTGTCCATCCTCCTGGTAACTCTTCCTCCCCTCTCTCCCCCTCTCACTTGCAGTTCAGCTAAGGAGCCTGGTGTGGGGAAGGCGCGGGACGTGGCCTCCTTCCGCCGCCACTTCAGGATGGGGTTCATGACCATGCCTGCCTCGCAAGAACACGCCCCACACCCCTGTGCCAGCAGTATGGCCCCCCGGTCCCTCTCCTGCCACTCCGTGGGCAGTGTGGACAGCAGTTCAGGAGACGGGGCTGCTGGCTCTCGCAAGCCGCCCGCCAAGCCCAAGCGGCATCCCAGCACCAAGCTGAGCGCAGAGGCCAAGACTGCCCTGGAGCCTGTGGGGGGCAGAAGAGGTAAGGGGAAAAGGGCGGCAGAACGCCCAGCGAGGGCCCCCGGTCACGTTAGACCACCAAGGCAGGCTGCCGGAGCCCTGAGGCCACGGACCCTGCTTGCCTTCGGGTCTGTGCCAGTGCAGAACAAAACACGGGGCTCCCTTCTGCCCTTTCAAGGGGCTCAGAAGGGCATGGGTCAAGGGCAATGGAAGCACTGGTGTGGACCATCCCGGGCTCCGATTCCACACTTGTGCGCCGCCTCTCGGAACAGGGCAGAGGGCTTTGCAGGAGTGAGGCGGACTCCTGTACCAGGTTCCAGCCCACTTGGAGGCCACACCCTCTGACTGGCAGATCCACCTCCCGGGCCCAGAGGGCACCCACAGGCCTTTGCCACTCCCAGGCCAGACTGAGCCTTCAGTCTGCTGGGCTGCGCTGGCTCCATGGTCTGGTGATTGGCTTCCCACTTTCGTGTGACTCTCCATCCCGCAGGGCTGGACCCGGGCACTGAAAACAGGCTCCTCTGTAAACCCCACCCACCCATACACCTGTCAGTCTCCCTCTCCCGTCCACCTGCCCGGCAAGACTGTCTTCTGTGTTTCTTTTCCACGCTAGGTTCCCAAAAGTCCAGTTCCGACGGTCGGGAGCTGGGGCGCAAGGTGCCCCCCCAGAAGCCCAAGCGTAGCCCCAACACCCACTTGTCCGTCTCATTCGATGAGGCGTATGCAGGCAGGCTGCCCGGCCCCCCTTTGGGCGGGGCAATGCAGCGCTACGGCCGCGCCTTCTCTCAGACTCAAGCCAAAGGCTCCGATGCCGAGGAGGATGAGCCGGTGTACATCGAGATGGTGGGAGACATTTTCCGAGGACCCGGGCCACCCTCTCAAGTGCCAGCCGCAGCGGACGAGGACTCTGACGAGAGCGAAGCCATTTACGAAGAGATGAAGTATCCGCTCCCAGAAGAAGGGGGCGAATGCCGACCCAGTGGGGCACCGGCCTCCCCGCGCCACCATCCAGCCAGGCGGGAGGCTGCCAAGGCGGCGCCCAGCACCAAAACCTCCCCATGTGAGATCCCACCGCCATTCCCCAACCTCTTGCAGCACCGCCCCCCTCTGCTGGCCTTTCCACAATGCAAGAAGGGCTACAAAGGCCCCAGCCAAGAAGGGTCGAAGTTGCCCATCCCGTGCCATGCCAAGGACGCCCCAGCTGCTCCGATGACGCCCCAGGTTCCCAGCCATCAGCAGAGGGCTGGTGAGGGTACAGCCTTGGGCCCTTCGGGTCGCGCCCGCAGCCACTCCACGCCACTGCCCCCCCAGCCCGCTGGCCAGAGCAAAGCCGAGAAGGAGCTCCCCAATTCCCACAGCATGATCTGTCCCCCAGCCAAGCAGGCCCCCCCGGCAGCCTCCACCCCGGCAGCCTCCACCCCCTCCATGCTCCCTGTCAAAGAGAAGCCTGCCGTCTCCTACACCATGGTCTACTCTGCCGTCAAGGTCACCACACACACGGCCCCGATGGAGCAGAAGACCGAGAAGGAGATTTCGGTCCTGCATGGCTTGCTGTGTGCCCGCCCGTCCACAGTGCCCACCTGCAGGCAGGCCCAGAGGGCGTGCACACTGCCTGAGCCTCCACCCCTGGGCATGGTCTGGACTTATCCTGCCCCCTGTGTGGGGCTGAAGCGCCCGCCGGCATACGAGAGCATCAAGAACGTGGGCGCCAAGGCTTCCTCCACGGTCAAGCTCCCACTCCAGGACCGGGCATTCACCAGCGTTGCCTGCTCCCACCTCCTGCCCGGTGAAGAGTGCGCCCGCCCAGCGGGAGAGGAGGAAGCCTTTGGGTGGGTGCTGCAGAGAAGGATGGGCTATGTGAACCGGAAGGTGAAAGAACCAGAAAGTGAGTATGGGCTGCAAACTGGGGGACGGGGAAGAGGAGCTCTCAGCCCGGGGGGTGGGGGGGTCAGCCTGCCTCTGGCTGATGTTCAGGGGACCCTGCAAAGCCGTTTGGTTTGCCAGGGCTTGGCATGGGACGGTATTAGCTGGGGCTTGGCCTTGTTTCAAGTGGTGGTGGTTTAAATTGTGTCTTACCAGCTGCCACTGAAAGAGAGCCAGCATGGAGTAGTGGGTAGAGTGGCAGACTAGGACCCTGGGCACCCCTAGCACAAATCTGGGGCCCAGCACAAACTCTCAGCCTGGCCTACCTCACCAGATTGTTGTGGGGAAATGGGAGGAGGGTTCCAGTAGCCACTCTGAGCCCCAACGGGGGAGAAAAGCAAGATAGAAATAAATAAATACAAGCGGATGAAAGGCAGGTTGTAAATGTTTGAATGAATAAGTGGATGAAGCATCTGGAGACACCTGCCTGTAACTGCTGAGAGACAAGTCCCCTGGAGTTCTCTCTTCCTTCCTAGGGGCCGGCGCCTCTTCCCTCCTTGTCTCAAGACAGCTGTTTCTTCAGGGGGGGTGTTGGTGCTCAGCACAGGGCATGGCCACCCTGTCCAAGCTCTGGGGGGGGCTCCCTTCTGCTGGATCCCAGCCATGGGGGGCTGCAGCCGGTGGTGGGCCCATTTTGCCTGCGTCCCAGTTTGAAACGGCCTCTCCCCTCTGGGGGGGGCCCAGGGGAGACGGGGGTCTGCTCTCTGCTGAGCCCCCCCTTTTTGCCCCAACAGAGGCTCCTGATGGCCCGAAAGCTTTTGAGGAGAGTGACAGCGCCCCCACCAGGATGGAGAAGGAAGAGAAGGCCGGGCCGGGCCTGACGCAGTCCGGCATCCCCGTCCGCATGCTGGGGCCTGAGGGCATCGCGGTCAAGATGCCCGGGGGACGGACAAACCTGCCTGTTCCCTGCCAAACCTTTCCCGCCTGTCACCGGAACGGAGGTGAGGCGGCTGTGGTGTGCAGGTCTGGGGGTGGGAGGACAGGCCCTGGAAGGGAAGAGGTTTCTGGGCTAGGGTCCTCTCTGTAGAAAGGGGCTCTGAGGGTTTAGGGCGAGGGATCCCTGTTTGTTCTTGGGCTGCGGAATTTGCGTCTGATGCAGCTGCAGAGAAGCAGGTGACCTTCAGATGAGGACAGACTGCAGAGAGCAAGGCGGCATCGCAGAGAGGAAGAGCGAGGGGGGAGAGGCAGGCGTTTGCCTCCTTGTTCTTGAGGCTGGATTTGCCTTACCTTGGGGGGGGGGCTTCTTTGAGGAAGGCCCCTTCCCCCCCCCCCAGATTGTGCCTTAATTTTTTTGGGGGGGTGGGGGACAGATTATGATGTTTCGCCAGGGACGGGACAGCATACGGGGTCTGTGGCTCCCGGCCGTGTTTTTGCCCCATGTGACTGGCAGCCAGATGAGTAACCTTCTGGGCCCACACAGGGAGGGGCCGAGTGAAGGGTGTGGCATTGCTGAAGGGTGTGTTTCCTGCTTCCCCCCTCCCAGATTTCACTGGTGGTTACCTCCTGGGCCGCTCCGCATCCACCTCTGGTGTTCGACACGCCGTGGTTCACACTCAGAGGCCGTGTAGCCATCCCCGAGACCCGGCCAGTCTGGTACGGCGGAAGGGAGGGGCGGGGCAGAGAGCCTCTGGGCCTTGTGGAAGGGGGATAGGCTGAGAGAGAGACCCTGGCAGATAGGCCGGCCTGCCTGCCTGCAAAAAGCAGAAGCCTGGACTTCCAACATCCTTCCTCCCTCAGATCTGGGTTCTTTGGGGTCTGAGCCCGAGTGGGTGGGTGGAGGGGAAGAGGGAAGGGAGCCCTGCCCCGTAGTGAAGCCTTGACCTCCCCGTTCACAGTGCCCTTTCCCCACAGGCTCTGCAGCAAGCACCGCTGCCAGCCCCCGGGCCCCTCCAGGGCTCCCGCGAGCGGGACGGCAAGCTCCTGGAGGTGATCGAGCGCAAGCGGTGCGTGTGCAAGGAGATCAAGGCGCGGCATCGCCCCGAGCGCACCCTCTGCAAGCAGGAGAGCATGCCAATCCTGCCCAGCTGGCGGAGGAATACAGAGAACCGCAAGTCTGGGACACCCCCCTGCCGCCGCCAGCAAACTGTGCTCTGGGACACAGCCATATGATGGCGCGGGGCTGAGCCCCGAGGAACCGGTGCCTTGTGCCAGCCGAGCCGGACACGGTGCAGGGCTAACTGCTGGCAGCGTGGTGCCCTGCCCGTGGGCCCCTGGCCTGGGACTCACCAGAGACCATGGGCTGCTTGGGTGCTGCCCCCTGCTGGTGAAGCAGGGCAAATGGCTCTTTGGCCAGGATCCAGGATTGAAAGCAGCACGCTGGGAATACCAGCATGGAAAATCCGTTGCTTCGCCTCAAGGACCCTCTGTGGAAACGGCTGCCCCACAGGCCCACCCCACAGGCGGCTGCATCTTAGAGTGGGGGCAAGGTTGCCAGCTGGCACCCCTTGCCCTCACCCTCCAAACCAGCCACGTCTGTGCCAACAACCGACCCATAAGATGCTGCCATTCGTCTTTCTCGGAGGGGGGCCAGCACGATAGCTGTGGGAAGGGCAGCCATGGCCCCGTTGTCTCTGCCAAGAGGGAGGCCTCCGAGTACCGGGGCGTTTCCAGGTTCTCACGGGGGTTTTCTTACATCGCTGGGGAGGAAGGTGGGAACCGGGGGGGGGAGGGGGACGTCGTTGCCATGCAGAGTTCTCCAGACTGAAGTGGCCACAATGTCTCCCACTTCACCTGCCAGGCCGTTTGGTTGGCCAGTTCCTGGTCAGAGATAGGACTTAAAGCTGGGATGCCTGAACACAAGCGGTCTGTCCCTCCCTCCCCAGGGGTGGGGCAGGGTGAAGAGAAGAGCAGGCCCTTCATAGCAGCCCCATAGGACTTAGCCGCTTCTTCATTGGCATCTGTATCTCTGACTGGGGGGGCCGTCTCCATCAGCTTGCAAAATAAAATAAGCAAAAATTTCCCAGTCTGGCAGTGAAATTATGACATCAGAGTTTTCTCGTCCTGCAAACTGGAGGAAGGGGACCCAGACTTTGGGTTGGAAATGCAGTTTTCCAGAAACTCCCCCCCCCCTAATTAAAATGTCAAATGTTTTCCCATGTAGGAAAACTTTGATTTAGCCACATTCACGTTTACAGAAATAACTCATCATAGCATCGCTTTCCTTCTTTCCTGCCCTGTTTTCTCATGTCCTGGTTCATTTTTCTTACCTTGAAAGCCAGTAGTTCTGAATTTCAGCAGATGCCTAGAGACTCAAGGTTCTGGAATGGGTCATGTGCTGTCTTTCCTCTCCCACTGACTCTTCTCACTTAAATCTGCTTTAAAATTCCCTTTTTCGCTGCCCAGAAAAGCCAAACTGCAATTTCAATATGGGGGGGGGGGAGATATTTCAGTGGAAATGGGCCTCCTTTGGGAGAACGGCTTGGGTTTTGAGTGCTGTTAGAACTGTGCTGCTGTTCAAAGTCAGCCAGCAGGGGTGGGGTTGCGGAGGGGACGACGAGAAAACTCTTGTGCTTGTGTCTTCTCTACGCATCTGACCATGTTACAAAGTCTGCCTTCTGAACTCCAGCCTGGCTCCTTGCCATGGCAAAGCTTCTTGCTCTCTTTGGGCACAGGTGGATTCAAGGGCCTCACAGGGTGGGCTTTGTGCAAGCTGGGTTAAAAGACAGGGTAGAGATCGTGGTGGCAACTCGCATTGCACATTTGTGTGATCATGCATTCAGTGCCTCCCACAGAGGTGAGAACCTCCTTTAGACATTAGCCCCTTCCTGTTCATGGAGCTAGTCAGTAGGATCACAGGGGGAGCCCTGGAAGGCTCACCAGTGCTGTTGGTAAGATGGCCCCCACCCGAACATCCATGCAGGACTAGCCAAGCAGCAGCAGTAGCCCTGTCCGTCCCATCCCCTGGGCAGCCTCTGCGCCCTGCCTCTTGGCCTCACTCGCCTGTCTCACCTGCCTCGTGGTCTGTCTCTCTCTCTCGTTTGTATTCCTCTCCATGGAAGCCACCTCTTCCTGCTGAGCTTTCTGTCTGTGTGCTTGTGATGGCACATGCTGGCAGAAGTGGAGCCAAGGGGTTTTCCTCTGCTGTGTGCCAGGCAGCCCACCCATGGCCGGCAGCATTTTGTTCCGTGTCTTCAAAGTCTCATCCTCAGCCAACAGATTTGGGGAACGAAGCTTTTGGAACTGGTCCGGGACCCTCCCAGCACCATCCATGCCATCCCCTCGCCCACTTCTGCTTCAGAACCGACTGCGAATCCATCCGCCACAATTTCCTGTTAGCGTCCACAAGACACGGCTGGACCGGTTGGGGCGTTGGCATGAATTAGGGTTTAAAAACTGTGTACGGCGCCGTCAGGGTGAAGGAGAACCCACTCGGGACTCCTTGGTTTTATGCTCCAGCCCCTGATTTAAATATTTCACAAGATTGTCTAGCGTAGCAAGATGATGAAACTGCTTTGCAAAAATATTTATGCTGGGGATTCGTGGGAGGGTATTTATATATTGAAAAACAATGGAAAGAAAATAAAACTGTCACACTGGGTTGCTCTACTGTGGACTAGTTTCTCGTGTGTGATTCTGGGCTATCTATTACAGACAAGAGCAGAGGAGGAGAACACCAGGAATTGCAGGGCTGTGGCTCAGTGGTAGAACAATTTGTTTGGCATGCAGCAGATCCTGGGTTCAGTTCCTAGTAGCTCCACTTAGAAGTATGAGATAGCAGGGCACAAAAGACCTGAGACCCTGGAGAATTGCTGCCAGTCTGAGTGGGGAATTCTGTGGAAGATTGGGGGGGGGGGAGACTTGGAGTTAATCTTTCAAGGGTAAAGTCTTAATGTAAGGGGGAAAGGGAGGAGTTGAGGTAGGAAGGTTAGGTGTGAATCCTGTTATAAATCAACAGAATTAGTAGTTGCATATCATTGATGGTGAGAGTGGTCATAGGTTTAAATAGATAAGGAAAGTGATGAAACAGTCATTTCAGAATGAATTGATATTGGTTCAGGGTATCGTCTGATACAGTGTACTGAGAACTGCCAATTAAAATTTCTGAAAAGTGGATCCCGTAGAGCCATTAGAGATTGTAATGAGTCAGGAAATAAGTCACCGCAAGGACAACATGTAATGTTTAATTTCTTGATGAGTTCCAATTCAGAATTATCATATTTTATATTCCCTTTGATTTGAGAGGGTAGGGGGTAGAACAGAAACTTTCAGGTCTGTAATGGAATATCCTGTGCTCCGAGGGCTCTCTCATGCGCAGAGCTGGTGGCCACAGGGGTGTGCAGCAGTGTAAGGCATTAATAAGTCATGAAGAGTTTTGCCTTCACAAAAGTGCTTGGGGATCCGCTTTTATTGATTGAAGCCCAGCATTTCCCCCCCAAAATCTTGCCAGTCCTCAGCAAATCAGCATAATGACAAAAAGAGGAAAGTGGGACTGAGCCGAGAGAGGCTGAACGTTTCTTGCAGAGTGTCACATCAGCCTGAGGAGGGGGATTTCCTTCCAAAGGCTGTGGTAAGTCATAAGGCACTCCTGTATCAGAACCTTTCCACAGTGTTATGTGCTTGACTTAGTATCCTATAATTGTAGTGAATTGTTCCACATTTCCCAAAAAGGGAGCAGGTTCCATGTGGGAGGGAAAGACTTGACACTGAAGGTGAATTTGCTGCCAGTCTGTCTACTTGTAACAAGGCTTAAGCGAGCTGGGACTTAGGAGATAGCTGATTTGGGCTCTTCAAGCGTAGCTTTCCTTGGGCTGCCTTTCTTTGTGCTCCATCTTGTCTGCTTCTGTTCTTGTTCTTCAACAGCCGGATGGAATTGTTTATTTATTTAATTTGTACTTTGCCTTTTTCCCAAATTGAGACCCAAAGCGGCGATACCCTTCTTGCAACCTGTCTATTTCATTATTTCACTTAGAAAATGTGTTGACTGCCTCTTCAGGAATTTACCAACATAAAACAATGAAAGTAACCAGCCAGGTAAAATGAACCCGGTCAGCAAAAAAACCATTTCAAAACCATCAGCAGAAGGGAAAGCGTTTAAATGGTATAAAATTCTATAAGAGCATATCAAAATCCAGTGTAAACAGGTGGACACAGAATCCATAAAAGACTGTAAAGTACCCTATGTAAGGTAGGCGCCAGACGGACTTCTAGTGTGTGCTTGTGGGGATGACATAGCACTGACATATTTCTATCAGTAGATGCAGCCCACTTCACCTTATGGGGATATGGGGTGTGTGCAGAGAGAAGGCCCTGAGCCAAAGGTCTTAACTAGTAAGCAGGACCGTCGAGGAGGAGGCAGCCGTTCAGGTCCCCTGTCCCAAGACCTTTGGGACTTTAACACTCAACACCAGCACTTTAAACAGCGTCTGGGAACAGGGAGCCAGATAGTGCTGATCTTTCAGCCCTGTCTCCACCCCCCAATATGAGCCTGGCTACTGAATCTTGAACCAAACTTAAACTTCTCAATGGTTTTGGGAGGGAGCCCCACAGAGCACAGGGCAGTAATCCAACTGGCGCGGTCTCAGAATGGATCACCGAGGCCCAGTCCCATGTTTCAAGGAAAGCCCATGCCTAGTGCATCATCGGCAGAACCTGAGCAGAGGTGCTACATGCAGCAGAGAGAGCCTGAGCTTCCAACCTGAGGCCAGGATCCAGGAAGCCACAAACCTTCACCATTCCTGGATAGAAGGGTGCCTCGGAATCAACAGATGTCAGCCTGAGTTCCGTGGAGGAAAATGAACGGTGGAAACAGCAGATAAGAACATAAGAGATGCCAATGTTGGATGCCAAAGGCCCATCCAGTCCAACACTCTGTATCCCACAGTGGCCATAAATACCAGTGCCATCAGGAGGTCCACCAGTGGGGCCAGGACATTAGAAGCCCCTGTGGCAGTGAATTCCAAGTGTTAATCACTCTTTGGGTGAAGAAGTACTTCCTTTTATCCGTTCTAACCCGACCGCTCAGCAATTTCATGGAGTGCCCACGGGTTCTTGTATTGTGAGAAAGGGAGAAAAGTACCTCTTTCTTTACCTGCTCTTTCCCATGCATAATCTTATAAACCTCAATCATGTCACCCCTCAGTCGTCGTTTCTCCAAGCTAAAGAGCCCTAAG